GTCGGGGGGGGGGGGTGGGTTGTTAGAGGTTTTAATATTTGAGTAAGCAGGAGGAAGGAAAAAATATATATGTACACATATACTTTTTTTTTTGTCTGCAATGGGAATTTCTGATAAGTTGAATCAAAGGGAATCGCTTTAAGCGATTGCATTGCTCACTCTTCAAAGCTTTTTATCCAAAGTGGGAACGATTCTGCTTAAGCAGAGGAATGTAGCCCATGACAAATAGGTGTCTCATCTAATGGTAGAAGTCTGGAATTGGATTTAAATCCTCATTAATGTTCTGTATATAGCATAAGAGTGCACAGGTGTGCTTGTTTTACGGTCTACAGTGGCTGGGCTCCCGTTTCCAACAGCCCTGTCCCAGTGCTGCGTTAGCAGCTGTGTACTGTTGAGGACCGATTCCACTATGCTTGTCAGAGAACTTCATGCTGCTTTTAATACACAGTGGATTAATCAGACATGATCACCTTGACCTGTCACTATTAAATGGTTCTCTGCATCTCTAATTATGTGGTACCTAGCTGCTTTAAAGCTGTACCTTTAGCACCGCTGAGGTCATTACACCATCTGGTTATCTGAGACTGGCTTTAATGTGGAGGTCAGCTCAGCAGTCTAATAGCAACCCCTCCCCCCCCCCCCCCCCCCCCCCGCAACCTTCTCTAAGGTAGATACTTTCTATTACCTTTGTCTTTAAAGGTAATAGACTAAGCTCTTCCTTGGAATGCTAGCATTTCAATTAAAGACTGTGCTTTGAAAACCTTTCTCTAACTGCATGCAGAATTGAAACCTAATCTTAGCAGCTTATGTTGTATATCAGTAGGTTAAATGACAAAGCACTGATCTTTCTTTTAAAGAATGCAACTACTGAAAAATTCTTTCTGCAAGGTGTGAATGTGAGCACGACTCTGCCTTCTGAAGCAAAAGGTAGGGTCTCTTCAGAATTTTACTTCAGATTACTTTTAAAATAAATTTTATGGGCTGCCTGCATTAAAGGGGATGAATGTTGGGGATGATTGTCTTTCATTTTAAGCTCTGTGAGCTTGCAGCGCTTGTTCTTCAGGATTCTGTAATAGGACTTCTTTTGCACAGTTCCAAAATTTGAAGCATCTAACAACAGCATGAGCGAGCTGAGAGCTTCAGTAGGCAACTCCTATAAGTGCAGCGCAGAGGAGAATCTCTGGGTCTCGGACAAAGCCCTTGTCAACGTATTTAACGTTCAGATACAGGTTTTCAAGATTGATGGAGACAAATTTGGGGCAGGTAAGAGGTTTACATCTGTAAACGATACCAAAGATTTGCAAATTACACCTTGAGACAAACATGCAATATTCTAATTAGAATTTTATTTTATTCTGCAGTCAAAGTCAGCTCTTAGGTGCTATGCTTTGTCTCTGCATATGCCGTGTTACAGATGTTGTAGGGGTTGATAAGATGTCTGAGTTGAAGTTAGTACAAGAAGTATGTAAAAAGAAGCTTTCAAATAAGTAAAACTTAATCTGGAGAAGAGTTAAGGAAGAGCATTAACTTTTCCTCCGAATTCTTCACAGGCAGTTGTATTGCAGGGGCAAAGATCTGGGAAACTCCCAACTGCTTTAGTTTACATTCTCCTTTGTGACTGGGGTTAAAGCAAAAAGGCTGAAGGGAGGGGTCTGCTTGGATGTATTTACAACACCTAAACTTTGTGCATAGCAACAGTAATCACACTTGAAGGAAACAATTATAAACCTCTACGCTGTGCATGCAGCAAATAGTACTGGAAAGACTTGATCCTGAATGATCATAGTTACTGAACCCTCTTTTCTTTTGGTTCTTGGCAAGCTAAGCTAGAAGTTAACTCAAGCCAGTTGTTATCTATGTGGTGAGAATGGAAACTTGAGATTATGGATGTACCCCTCTGTTGGTGGACTAGCGCCTAATTGAATTTTCTTCTCTCTTCAGTGGAAGAATGTCAACTGGATGAAAATAATATGTTGATCCCAATAATAGTTGGTGCAGCCCTTGCTGGTCTTGTTCTGATCGTCTTGATTGCTTACTTGATTGGCAGAAAGAGGAGCCATGCTGGATACCAAACAATTTAATGAGTTGCACTCAAATCCAGTGTAGATAAAAAAAAAAAAAAAAGCAATTGCAAGAAGCAGAAAAAAAGTAACATTTCCCCTGAGCTAAGATTGATATTGTAAGGAAACACCTTTTCTTGCAAATTGCTTCTTCTCAAAATTTGCTTTATTAAATGTGGAATCATCTTGCAGCATTTAACTATGCACAAAAATAACCGAAAATTTTGGTGTTTAATTTTGCTAACTAGTTCAAATATTTACCCACTTAGAAACAAGCTAAAAGTTTTTAAGGGTGCTTTTTTTGGAATTGGCATAAGGTAATGTCAGCTAAAGATTCCAGACAGGGATGTTGCTAATACACATTGACTCAACCTCAAAATTCTTAACAAAGGGAAAAATTTCATTCTTGATACTGCTGCCACCCAGTCATGAGTTAAATTATACTGATAGTGTATTTAAAAGAAATTTAGTAACAACTGACAAAATTGAAATTTGAAGTCTAAACTCCACCTTGTCTCTTAGGTGTGCATTTTTTTACTAAGCTTTAAACACAATGCCTGGCATATGCAGGGTGTGAACAACGCAATACTCAAACCTTATAGGAACTCTTTATGATTGGACAACTCCCCTGTTTGATATTTTTGATGCTATGACAGCTTGTTAGGAGCTGATACTTTTTTAAAATGGGTGTTATTTTTATTTACATTTTTTTGTAAAGTGATTTCAGTCTCTTCTGTTGGAAGGTCCAGAGAGATCCTGTTACTGCACATGTGTACAATATAGATCTCAATCTGCTGATTCTCTTGCTTTAAACTTGGCTGGGGGTTGTACACTTTAAGGATCAGTTCTTATGTATGCATTGCCTGTAACAATGCTAATAAAGACACTTTTTTCTGTATGTCTTAATATCTCTGTGTTTTTTTGTTTTTTTTGTTTCTTTTTTTTTGTTTGTTTTTTAGAAAGAGACTTGAGTAGTCATTTGATAAGTGCTAATGTCTTGGCTTGGCTCTGTTTCTGAAGCTTCAAACAGTCTTTAATTTGAGACTGTGTTAAACTAGTGTTTCATTTTTCTTCTCTCTGCACAGCACGAAGGTTAATTGAAGGTTACCTGAGGCTTAACTCTGTATGTCTCCAGAACAGTGGGTTGAGTGGGGTGTTTTTGTATGAGTGTGTTTTATTTTCTGCCTGGGAACAGGTAAAGCTGCTTCTCCGCGTCAATAACTTGAGATCTTACTCTGACATTTAATTGCAGCTTGCTGAGAAACATCACTATGTTGGTCCGTCCTGCTAAGCATCACTTTCCAAAAGTACTGAGATAATCAATATAAGGACTGTGTAGATGACATTGGGTACCACTGTTGTCTTCCTGTGAAGTCAGAGTCTTACCACAAAGTAGGAAATGTCTAGACCTCAGCAGAGAGGTGCGTGTTGTAATGTGTGTCCTGGACTGAACCTATGCCTTAAAGCTTCCCAGCCTCCTGCAGTAATGCTTCAATGTTAGCAATACTAGCTTCCTTAAACAGGGCAGCAACCAAGCTACACTAAAATACTTTGCACTGAACACCATTTTCCCAGCGGCGAGAACTGAACACACTGCAGTAAGGCTGCAACACTGCAGACCATCTGCCCAGGTACCTTCAAGGCAGGAGAAACTGTGCATTTCATTGTTGATGCAAAAACTAACATTTCCTAGCAGTACTGCACTTTTGCCATGTCAGCAAGTGCTCATGTCCTTAAAATTCCGTACTCGGGTAGAAAGTATTTGGTGTAAAGGATAGAATAGTCCAATACTGTATGGGTGAACGGCTAGTACTACTCTAAAAGGAGATTCCTCCATTTCTTATGGAGGGAATGAAGAGAGTCTTCTGTGATGTGCAGCCCTGCATGATGTATTGGCCTAGGACAGACCTGCACAACACCTTTTAATCCCATCTCTTGAACACCGGTATGTACATCTGTTTGTCTAGAACCATGTTTACAGTCTTATGCCCTTGCAGGGTGCAGTTTATCCCCCTAAAGTCACACTTAGTGGACTGTACCTGGGGAGGGGAAAAAAAAAAAAGTATTTCTCAAGTCTTTGACCATGTGCAACCTGTCTAATAGTCTAGTGTCTTGATTAGGAAGAGTGCTCCATTTCATCTGAAGAACAGCCTTCTGGAGTCCAAGAAACTATCCATCTGCAGCAAAAAAGGGTAAGTCTTTCTGGAAAAGGAAGGATAATAGCATGGGGTGGAGTCCAAAAAAGGAGCGTGGTGGTAAAGGTGAGGCTTTGTCAAGTACTTTTTCAACTGACAGAATAAAAAGCACAAGTCTGCTGCCATGTCTTTAGTCCCCCTGCCCCTGCAACCTCTGCCCTTCCCAGCACGGGGGATAGGGAAAGGATCTGGCCACCAGAGGGCCCTGCAAGGATGAGAAAGCAATGCAGAGAGACCCAGGCTAGAGGTGGCTGCCTGCCATGGGTAGGGCTGCTGCTCTGCTCGTTCCTGCCAGGGATCTTGAGTTATAGGCACCTGGGGTGCCGGATGCCTCATGCTGTAGAGGAGTAGTTCTGTTCATAGCTGCTGTTATGGTGTAGCATTCCCAAAATTTCTGAGGCTGCAGATGTATGAGGGTACAGCAACTCCAGTGCGACCTCAGGTAGTACATCAGGAAGCAGAAGTACATCATCTCAGAAAACACCTATTTTCAGCAGCCCATATAGCAAGGTGAGAAATGCTACTTCCAGATTTTGGGTCAAATCACTTTTTAACTGATGATGATCTTACAGCTAGTGAGCTAGCAAACCCTAAATGAGCATATGAGGATCACTGAGAAATTGCTGCTGCTTCTTTCTGCAGTCAGGACTTGCACACATTTGCCACCTTCTTTACCTAAAGCTGCTGCAAGCTGCATATAGTAACCGCCAATGAAGATAAAGATCATCTTTTTTAATTGTTGTCTTGGCCCGACTTCCCCATGTTCATGGAGCTCCCCCAGTGACAGCAGTGAAGAAAAAGGAAGATGCTTGTATTACAGCTAACTAGTGACAGTCAAAGGAAGCAATTGCTACTCTAGTTCACCACTGCCAAGCATTAGGATATTTCATTTTCACCCTCAAGAAACATATTTTGACAAATTAAATTATATTTATTTTGTACAAATAACAGAGGTTAATACAGTAGGAAGGACTTGTAATTCCATACACCTGTTTTTTCTAATATTGCAAAATGCCCTGAAAAGACAAGGACAATGACTATTTTCAAAAGGAGTGTCCTGACATCAGTCACATTCTACTCTGAAAACACTTGAATTCTTAAAAAAATATAACAAAAACAAAACAAACCACCAGTTTCCAGTAGTCCCAGTTAAAGTCAGACATACAGTACAAAGTGTTAACAAGGCGGGGAAAAAAAAAATGGTCAAGTGTCAGTTAACTCATGGAAAGCTTAAAGTGTGCTTTAGTCAGTGCAAGTAGAGGAATGTGTCAACTGCTGTAGTTTCTGACCACCTGGACAAGTCTGGTGAGTTATCCCTGAGAAAGCAGCTTCTCACGGCAAGTCTCTCGGAGTTTGTTGATCGTTGCCATGGACAAGCTTCCTGGTTCTGTGAATGTTTTCTAGGGGAAGAAAGAGGCAAGTTAGTTAAAAACTTGGCTTTGGACAAGATTTCCAACCATGCTAGATTCTCTAAAGATGCACTAGCAGAACATGGAAATCCCAGCTGTAAGAGCTGTACTGTGAACATGCTTACTGCTGTTTCACCTCCATGTTAACAAAGCAACATTGTCACCTTCTGCATTGTAAAGAAAGACATAGTAAACCAGCAGCTCCTAATAAGCGCTCTTAGAAACCCTGCAAAAGCTAGCTTGACCATAAAGGGTGCAGTTAAACTCATTTTTGGATTGCATTTGTGTTGTTGGATAGCTGGCTTATTCAGGAGACAGACGGCTGTCCTGGGTAACCTTAAAAGCATTGACTATTTCCTCACATGGTGCTAAAACAGGCCATTCGAGCCCCCAGAACATGTATGTACATACAACGGTCTGCTGATGCTTGAAATACTCACTATAATACCTTTGATCGTCCTCTCTAACTACCAGGCTTTCCAGGGTCATCTTGTACATGGATGTAACAACTTGAGACATTTCAAGAGATTCCAAGAATACATTTCTTTTTGATGCTTTGTTCAAAATACCTGACTGAACAAAACGTGCAGCTTGCTTCCTAAAGTTTATGCACTTAAATCCATCCATAGCCAAAATGTACAGGCCCCTCAGTTCTCTCTACTTGTAACTGGCAACTCGGGATGATATTATAAATGAGCCAATTTTAAACAGTTAAAGAAAGAAGTTTGCATTGCATTAAGCCAAAAAAAAAAAAAACAACCTTTTTTTTTTTTTTTGAGGGGAGGGGGAAGCAGGTGTTACAAAGTTACACAGGAACCTAAGGCCAGTTGTTTTTTGAGGGCCTTGAAAGCCCACTCACTACAGTGACCACCCAAAATTAAACTGAACACTGCTGGAAGATAACCAACTCAAATGCTTTTATTCAGGATAACTGCAAGAAAAAGGTACTAGATTTTCTAAAACCAACTGGTGTGAAACAGTAAGTAATTAAGAGGTGGGGGGGGGAAAAGGAAAAAAAAATCTGCAAGGACAAGTGTTGGTACTAGCCTCTGAACTGGTTTTCTTAAGGCAGTTAATGTTTGACCAAACTCGTCTTCTAAACCCTTTATGGAATGGAAAAAATCCCTCAAACTTCCTTCTAAATTAAGCTACACACCTGTGATTTATTTTTCATCACACCTTTATTTAAAAACCTCACAAACACTAATAAATTAAGGTTGTTTTTCTTTTATATGTGCACAAACACACCACAGCTTTAATTACATGTCCAAATCTGACAGACCTGTGCACAGAGCTCTGCTCTAAGCATAAAACTGTTCTGGGGCTAGAAGTCACTAAGGGGGATGCAGTTTTGTGTGCACCCAGTAACAACGACAGCAGAGTTGGGCAAATTATTTATGACAGATCTGCTCCTGCTCATTTTTGACAACTGACTCATTTCTTTTAGATTTCAGTCTTCAGAGTTAAGCTTGAGTCTAATGCTCTATACACATCTTGGCATCTGCTCTAGTAAGAGCCGACAAGAATAACTCCTAGCCTGTAGGTTGTCGTAAGACTTTAGTACTCTCGGCTTCATCCTTTCTGAGTGGAGGTGAGAACTAGCTGTTATCTTTTTGTTCTGTGACTAAACATAATGCTTCGCATTCTATTACTGTGAAGATCTATCAGTGCAAGTTTAAAATTCACTTTGTGCTTATTCTACGATAGTCTGTTACAATTCATTTGAAAAAAGGCACAAGACCATAATCAGTCCATAGTTCACTGAAAGTATTCACTAAAGTTATTTTCTTGTCAGACTTTGTGCTCTAACTGGTAAAAAGGGTGAGAGGATTTTTTCCCCCTATATGACAGATAATGATGTCACTCGATTGCTATAGATGGATTTGGATGATCATTCTTTAAAATACCTTTTTTAAAAAGTTTGAATTTCTCAGTTTCTTACATAAGAAAGATTGTTCATCCACCACCTGTGGGTGATTCCCACAGATACGTTTCTCAAAACTGTATTCATATTTTTGACTGAGCAAGGCATTTCTGTCTTGTTTTTAAAGTCATAGCTATTAAAAGCTGTGGAGAATTTACCTGCATGAAACTGTGACACTCTGTTACAAATGTCCCTTTGGTGATCTCCTTAAATTTATCACAAATGTCGGGGAAATTCGTGGCTTCCAAAATAAAAGCTTGGTGTTGCTTAATTAAGGTTAAGGCCACGCGAAAGATGATCTTTGACCCCTCATAGAATAAACAATCCCATATTCGGAGCACAGTCTGCAAGAAAAGAGAGAATTCAGATT